GGGATCTACTTATGAAAAATCATCCACTGAGAACCCCGTGGGGCACAGTTCTACTCTGACACACACGGGAACACCATGAGTGGGATCTACTTATGAAAAATCATCCACTGAGATCCCCGTGGGGCACAGTTCTACTCTGACACACACGGGGACACCATGAGTGAGATCTACTTATGAAAAATCATCCACTGAGAACCCTGAGGAGCACAGAAAAGAAGAGCAGAGTCCACGCAGAGACAGACGCGAGGGAAGAGGCAGATAAAGGTGACATATGTGTTTACAAGCCCCGGAGTGCTGACAGCTGGAAGCTGATTTAGACACAGACGACCTTCCCCTGAGCCGGCCCCCTGTACTCAGACCTGTAGCCGGTTGAATTGTGAGGAAGCAAATGTCTGTCTGTGAGCACCACCCCTTGTGGTGTTTCTGTTGGAGCAGCGCGCGATGCCTACGAGGCTGTTACACCTCACCGAGGAGCGCTCACCTGGCTTGCAGATCTCAGACACCTTGCTCAGTAATTGCTGCAGGACGTCATCGGGCCAGCTGTAAGGATCTCTGGAAAGGATGTACAGTTCCGCTTCTGGAAGCCCGTCTTGGAAAATGTCACCTGGTGCAAAGACCCAAGGAGACAAGCTCGTCAGTGAGACAGGTGAGCTCGGCCACCTGACAGAGTCCCTTCCCAGCCTGTGAGCTAGAACCCACTGCGGGGGAAGAGAGAGGGCCATGGGGGCGGGGGTCTGTGAAGGTTCAGGACACACACACACACACATATATATGTACAGTTACATGTATGCACACGTCTATACCTATACAGACATACCACACACACACACACCACAGCTACAGAGAATACACGCCATCACCCACATTCATAGATAGATATAATCATCATACATTACTTAAATATATCATATACACACACATACCGGACACAGAGACAAGAGACGTGTATACATACACCATGCAGACACACAAACGCAGACATTTACACACACAAGACCACACAGTCCAGACACACCAGAACACACAGACATATACCCCGTACACACACAGAAATACAATCACCCACACTCATAAGCAGACATAAGCACACACACACACACAAAGAGAAATATACACACAGATACATGCCCAGCACACAGATGTACAGACACCAGCACAGAGAACACGCATACAGACACAGACACAGTAGACACACAATCACATACACAGAGACATATATAAGCACACACATACACACACTATACATACTCCAACACATAGCAACACACGCTTCACACAACAGACTTACGGGGAATACTCACAGACAGATATGTACACACATGCCAGACAGACAGAAAGACAGAAAATACACACAGCCACACATGCGTGTAAAGATACACAGACACACACACAGAATAACTCAGACAGACACACAGACATCCCCACCCAAAACCAAACATGGAATAAACGCAAGGACACATATATACATACACACACACACACACACAACCACATACACTCCCTCTCCCCAGAAAGAGGCCCTATCATCATGGGGGAAAGCAGACAGCACACAGAATGCGTACCTGCCAGGAAGCTGACCTGGGCCGCCTGCCATCCGCAGGGGTGGAAGCTAGGGGCAAGCTCAATGACCTTTGGCAGGTCGAACACGGTCACTTGTAGGTGCGGGTAGGCCTGGGCAAGCCTGTAGGCAAGGGTCCCTGTGCAGCCTACGGAGGCAAATGCAGACATTGTTCCCTGACTCTCCTGGAGCCCAGGCAAGCCCTGACCAGTCCCCTGAAGCTATGTCTTCGAGTATACTGAAACCCAGGGTATCACAGGTGGCCCACGCTGAACTCAGATTCTGGAAGGAACCTGGAGCTTGGGGTTGGTGAAGGGCCTGGGAGAATCCTTAGGGGTCAGTGTAGGATTTCCTAAGCCTTCCTATTAAGGGGACGCAGGCCTGATGGCTGGAGCCACAACAACCTCGCTGGGCCAAGAGGAAGAGGAATGCGGTGAGGGCAGGGAACCAAAAGCTGGAATGTGCACGGGCCGCTGAAGAGAGCGTCTAGTACAGGAGTGTCAGAACCCCCCAACCTCCCACCTTGATGGGCGGACCGGAGAGAAAAATCAGCAGCCCGCCCAGTCTTACATCTAAGGCGCAGCAGGAAAGGTACACGAGAGGACGCAGAGAGCGACAGCGCTGGGCGCAAAGGCCCACGCACCTCCCAGGTGGCAGGCGGACTTGAAGCGAGACAAGTCGAAAGCCTTGGCCAAGGCTTGTGCGCTCAGCTTGGCGAGGTCGTGCGCACCGCGCATCCACTGTAGTAGCATCTCCTCGCTCCCAATGAGGACGGGGTCCTGCGAGGGAACAAGCGCAATGAGCAGAGAGGACACGGTGCACAGGATGCATGGTGCAAGGTGTAGAATGGCTATCCAAGGGTCTCCACCTCCATGCCCAGCCCAGCACTTGAAAAGGAGCGCTCAGCAGCAACCCCTTCCAGGTGAGGCGGGCCCTAAGTGAAGGGGCGGACCTGCTAGTGGGAGCTCCCTGTTTGTGTCAGTAACGTGCCCTCCCAAAATGCACGTACACACGGAAGTGTGTTTGTGTCATCCACACGCATAGAGCCCTGGTGGCACAACCGTTAAGCACGCTCACCAGAAGGTTGCTGTTTGAACCCACCCAGTGGCTCCACAGAAGGGAAGACCTGGCAACCTACTGCGTAAAGATGAAAGAAACAAAAAACAACCACACCATGACCATCGCCTCACAGAGATCCTATAGGGCAGTGAAAGCGCTCCATAAATCTTTACTGCCTCAGCTTTCTGTCTGGTGCCCCGTGAGCTTGAACCACCGACCGTGCAGTTTGCAGCCCAATGCTTAACCAACTGTGCCATCCGGAAGGCTCCTTCCCGTAACGATGACAACCTTGGAAACCCTATGGGGTATTTCTCCTCAATAGCATGAGGTCGCTGTCATCCGCCATGCGTAAATGGACTTGGTTGGTTCTTGGCTAGGATGAGCTGTGGGTTGAATTGTGTTCCCCTGAATACATGTGTTGTGAATCCTAACCCCTTAGTCGCTAACCAAAAGCTGGTTCTTCAGGAGAACAACTTTGCAGTGTACTAGTGTAAAGACGGCAGCCTAGGAGACCCTAGGTGCAGCTGCAAGGGTGAGGGGGGATTGGGAGTCCATCTCTAGGGAGAGATAAAAGAGATGAAACAGGCAAGCTGACCTCAGAAGGACCCACTGCCTCCGAGTCAGAAGAGCCAGAGTGGAGTGTGTCCTTTGAACCCGATGTCTCTGCTCTGTGAAGCTCCTAGACCCAGGGCAAGGCTGATGCCAAGACACAAGACCTCCCAGAAACGCTGGGTCTATAGATGCTGAAAGAGCAAGGACCTGCTCCCAGACGGAGCCTTCCACCTGATTTCGCATTTCTAGCCTCCTAAGGATCTCTGGTAGCGTGGTGGTTACGAATCAGGCTGATAACCTCAAGGTCGACAGTTCAAAACTACCAGCTGTTCCGCGGGAGAAAGATGAGGCTTTCTGCTCCCATAAAGATTGACAGCCTTGGAAACCTTGTACAGGGTCACTGTGAGTCGGAACCGACTCCACGGCACATAACAACAACAACGAACTGTCAGGAGCAGTCCTGGTGTGGCGCTGTGGATTAATACGCTGAAAGGCAACGTCAGTTTGAAATGCAAGATCAGCGGTTCAAGCTCACCAGCTACTCCTTGGAAACCCTACACAGGGTCGCTATGACTCAACGGCATTCAACAACAACAACAACAATCTGTCAGAGGCAGCCCTGGTGTGGCACTGTAGGATAAGCACTGATTTCCTATGAACCGAAGGATCAGTGGTTCAAACCCACGATCTGTTCCTTGGAAACCTGATACAGGGTATTTATGAGCTGGAAGGGACTCAATGCCACTTAACAACAACAAACTGAGAGAGGAAACATTTCTGTTTGTGAAAACCACCTCTCTTAACGCAGTTCCCATGACAGAATATGTCACCAAGTCAGCTCCGACTCACGGTGACCCCAGGTGTGTCAGCGGACAACGGTGCTCCAAGCGAGCTTCTTGCCCGTCATCTTTACACAAACAGACCACCATGGCTGTCTCCTCAGGCACGTCTGGGTCGCTTCCAACCACCAGCCGTTCAGTTAGCAGCCAAGCTCAAACTATTTGCACCCGTCAGGGACCCTTACCTCTCCAAGGGACCTTTAAAGAGTTCATCGAAAGATGCCATTATCTTTCAATTCCGTTTTCCCACAAATGTTTGAAGCCCCTAGTAGAGGTACCGTTAAGTTGGCCAGACTTGCGGCGACCTTGTGTACCTAGAGGTGAACTGAGCTCCGCGGGATTATCAGTGGCTGTGATTTTTTTGGGAAGCAGGCCTTCAGGCCTTATTCTAGGGGGACTTGAACCGTCAACATTTCATTTAGCGTTTGAGTTCTAATCACTTTTCTACAACGCAGGAAACTTATAAATTTACATGAGTTGGCGCTTCAAAAAGTATGTGGGAACGTTCCACTAGTTCTTCATTCCATTTGGCCTGATGTGTCCCTGTAGGTTAAAACTGGACTGCTAACCTAAAGATGGGCAGTTCAAACCCACCAGCCGCACCTGGAGAGAATGAGGAGGTACTGCTGCCGTAAACGTTACAGCCTCGGAAACCCTACGGAGCAGTTTTACCGTGTCTTACACGGTTGCCTTAAGTCGGAATCGACTGGGCGGCCGAGGAATTCTGTTTAATCGTTACAGGAGACTGCCAGCCCTTTCTTCCGCAGTACGCCTGGGTGGGTTTGAACTGCCCACCTTTAAGCCCGCAGTCCTTTGCAAACCGCTTGTTCCCCCCCAGGACTCCCAGCATCCCGATACCTTGAACAAGTCCTCCGTCTGCCTCCCGGATAATAGTCGGAGTTGGTCCCCGCCCTCTCGGACAGCGGTTTCCAGGTGTGTGAAGAGGTCCCAGGTGTGGTTGTTGCAGAGCGTGATGAAGCCCTGAAGGCTGTACTCAGCATCCGATGCCAGGAAGACACTGGCTAACTCCGTGTTTCGATAACCTGGGGATATGGAGACAGCCACGTGCTCTACACCCCAAACCCACCCCTGTGGGGTGACTCCAAGTCAGAGGGACCCTGAGGGGCAGAAGGGAGCTGCCCCATGGGGTTTCCTGTATGGGAACAGCCTGCCTCATCCTTCCCCAAGGCATCCGCTGGTGGGTTTGAACACATGACCTCTGGGTTAGGAACTGAACATTTTACCATGTGCACAACCAGAGCTCTGTTCAGGGGCAGAGGAGCTGATTTACTAATGCCCTAAATGGAAGACCCCCAACGAGATGGATTGGCCAGGTGGCATCATTGATGGCGTCAAGTGTGGCAGCGGTAGTGAGATTGGCCCAGGATCGGACATTGTTTCGTTCTGCTGTGCATGGGGTCGCTATGAGTCGGTTCCGACTCGATGGCACCTGACAACAACAACAACAAAATATGAAACGTCAGACACCCAGACAGCTGGTAAATGCGGGCATGTTCTTAGAGGCTGTTGCGTTAGTTCCAACCCACAACTCCGAGCGACCTTACACACAGCAGAAGGAACCACTGCCCAGTCCTGGCCAGACTCCCAATCGTTGCTACACTTGAGCTCATGACTGCTGCCACTAGGTCAGTCCATCTCGTTGGGGGTCTTCCTGGTTTTTTTGCTGACCCTCCACTTTACCAAGCATGATGTCCTTATCCAGAGACTGGTCCCTCCTAATAACATATCCAAACTTTGAGAGATGAAACCTGGCCATTCTGGCTTCTAAGGAGCATTCTGGCTGCACTTCTTCCAACACAGATTGGTCTGTTCATCAGTTCATGGCACTTTCAATATATTTCTCTAACATCGTAACTCACATGCATGCACTCGCCTCTGGTCTACGTTGTTTGTTGTCCTTTGTGCACACTGTTGTTGTTAAGTTCTGTCGAGTCGGTTGTGACTCAACACGACCCTGTAGAGGGTTTCCCAGAGATGGCTGGTGGGTTTGAACCACGGACCTGGCTGATATCAGTCCTGTGCTTACCCCTCCTTGCTGTATATCATCTGTTTAATCTATACCATCTACATTTGTTTTTCTATCCTTTCCATTGGCAGCATCGATAAAGTCTGTGCACTACTGGTCTGTCAGTTTGTCGTACTATGGTGGCTTGTGTATAGCTGTGATTCTGGAACCTATGCCCCTGGTATTTTAGATACCAGTGGGGTCGCCCCTGGTGGACAGCTTTCAGCTGAGCTTCCAGACTGACACAGACTAGGAAGACGAGAGGAAGACCACTTCTGAATGTTTATCAGTGAAAGCTTTATAGATATTAGTGGAATACTATAAAATCTAGTTGGAAGGGACTCAAAACAAGTGGGGAAGAGCTATCTGAGACCCCCAATGAGACGGATTGGCACAGTGGCTACAAGAATTGTGAGGATGACGCAGACTGGGCAGGACATTCTTCTGTTGTGCATAGGGGGTGTTAGAAGTTGAAACCAACTCGATAGCACGTAACGACATAAAATCTACGCCCATATCTACGTCAGGGGAGTCCTACTGTGGTGCTGTGGACGCATGCGGCAGACTGCAACGTCGTTTGAACTGCAAGCTCACCAGCTGCTCCTTGGAAACCCTATACAGAGTCGCTATGGGTCGGAATCAACTCGAATGCACTTAACAACAACAACAACTAACTCAGGAGTCCTGGTGTGGCGCTGCGGGTTAATCCGCTGGACTGGAAGGTCAGCAGTTCAAGCTGACCAGCCACTCCTTGGAAACCCTATATAAGGTCACTGTGAGTCGAAACTGATTCAATGATACTTAACAACAACATCACCTATCTCAAAGATAAACCTGTGCTTTATTAAGTATGTATAGATTATGGATCACGACACGCTATAGTCAACATTATGGAGAATGAGTGATCCAGACCACTTAATTGTGTTCCTGAGGAACCTGTACAGAGACCAAGACGCAGTTGTTCCAACAGAACAAAGACACACTGAGTGGTTTAAAGTGTGTTCCATGGTTGTATTCATTCACCAAACTTATTCAACTCGTATGCTGAACAAATAATCCAAGAAGCTGGGTTCTATGAAGAAGAACTTGGCTTCAGGATTGGAGGAAGACTCATTAACAACCTGCGATACGCAGATGATACAACCTTGCTTGCTGAAAGTGAAGAGGACTTAAAATACTTACTGATGAAGATCAAAGAGCACAGTCCTCAACATAGGATGTACCTCAGTGTAAAGAAAACAAAAAATCTCACCACTGGACCAACAAACAACATCAAAATAAGTGAAGGAAAGATTGAAGTTGTCAAAGACTTCATTTTTCTCAGATCAACCATCAACACTCATGGACGCCAACAGTCAAGAAACCAAATGACGTATTGCATTAGGCAAATCTGCTGCACAGGAACTTTTAAAAGTGTTGAACAGCAAAGATGTCAGCTTGAGGACTAAGGTGAGCCTGACCCAAGCCATGGTATTTTCAATAACCTCATCATATGCATGCAAAAGCTGGAGAGTGAATATGGAAGACTGTAAAAGAATTGATGCTTTTGAGTTATGGTGTTGGAGGAGAATATTGAAAGTGCCTTAGGCTGCCAAAAGAACCAACAGATCTGTGTTGGAAAAAGTGCAGCCAGAGTGCTCCTTGGAGGCCAAGATGGCCAGATTTCATTTGTTGTCTTCATCTCCCTGCATGCCTACCCCAGGGTCATCTCCAACACGATTCTCATGGTGGTACGCTGGACAGCTCTACCTGAAGGCAGGTATCCTGGCTTACTCTCCTTGGTCTACGCCCACGTTCTCTTACCTGCTCCTAGGGACATGCGCACAGAAGATGGGCAGGAGACCCAGTCCTCTCCAGGCCCTCAGCTGCCCTCTCTAAACAGAAGGGCTCCAGCACATCCCCGGCTATGGGACGACCCTCTTGGGGACCACTTCAGCCTTACCTTGTGCACATCTCAGCAGCAGCCCCAGCTCAGCACAGCCTTCCAGCAGCCACTCCGTCCCGTGCACTGACGCATCGATTTTGGCGGCAACATCTGCGGCCGATAGTACCGCTCCATCCTTGAGGACGTCAAACACCTTCAGCTTGCACGCGGTGAGAAGGACCTGCCCTCGAGAAACAGGCGCCAGTCAGATTCCCTAGGAGACTACAAACACCTAACCAGCTCACTCCACTCAACGTGCCCCCGTGTGTGTCAGAGTAGAACTGTGCCCACAGGGTTCTCAGTGGATGA